TGGGTGGGCCGCATTCTCTCCAGCGTGGGCCCGCGGACGAGGTCGCCCGCCGCGGGGGCCTTGCGCGGCCTGCCCCGCGCCTCCTTGCGGCAAGAGATGACGTTTCGGGTGGCCGACGTCTTCGACGGACCGTTGCCCAGCATGCTCGCGGCGAGCCCCGAGCGCCGGCGCCCCGCGCGGAGCGCGGGTCGCAGCCCGGGTCGCAGCGCCGCGCGGGCGCAGGCGCCCCCTCCGCCCGGGGGGCATGGCCGCGCGGAGCTCGGCAGGCCGCAGAGCGGCGCGGAGGGCGAGGAGCAGGGTGGCGCCGTCGGTTCCTCCTCGACCCGCGGCGTGGCGCTCGGCGGCCCCGCCTTTCCTTCCAGGGGCGGGCGCGCGCAGCGTGGGCGGCCTCCTGGGCTTCCCGGCGCCTGCCTGTCAAGATTCCCGCGCGCCGCCGATGGGTCTGACGCTGGTGGTGCAGCGCTGCGGCGCGAGATTCCGCGCAGGGCAGTCGCTCCGATGCTGCCCAATTGTCCCGCCGATGATGCGTCCGCCGATCTGAGACAGATGGAACTGACGTCGCTCCTTTGCAGCAAGATGCGATGCCAATGCACCGAGCGCATCTAAGCCCCAGGCCACCTTGTCGCTCGGTAGCTGCATTGGCTGGGCCTCTCCCACTTCAGATACTGGCGAGGGCAAAGGGCTAACAGGTGTCATGAACAGAGGTAGACCATCTTCTTCGGTAAGTATCTGCGTGGAGAGGGCCTCCTCAATCGCGTCGACCATCTCTGCGTTTTTCAATCTCGCCTGGGCTGGTCCAGCAGCGCGTCGCGCGTCGTAATGGCAATGTGTTGATCCGTTGCCTCCTCTGCGCGTCTCCTGTGCGCTTCCCTTCCAGTTCCGCTAGTCCGACTCTTTCTTCTGGTTGATCTGTATCTCGCGTGGGCATGCTTCGCGCTGCTCCGCCGTGCCCATCTCCGCGCGCTGTAGAAGCATTTGTTGTCGTTGACCCTCAGTTCCCATCGTTGCGGCGCGCTTGCTGCCCATGCTTGCGCTCACGTCCGTGGGCGCGCTCTGGAGGTATACGGGTCGCGGCGTTTGGGCCCGTCTCGCAGCCCTTCTCCGGACGAGCCACTCGGCGTCAGCGACGATGTGGTTGTGAAGGGGCCCCAGGACACGCAAATAAATACACACAAATAAAAAGATCCCCCATATTTCCCAATATTTTCTGGGTTTTTGTCTTCCCCCCCACTTCCCATATTTTCCCATATTTCCTGGGAATCGACGATTAATTGTGTCTGTGTGTGTTTTCCTCTCCTAAGGTTGGTCCTCCTCAAAGGGGGCGCTGCAGATCGTCGCAGCCGCGCGCGCGCGTTTTCTCAAGGCGCGCGTGACTCGTTCTGGGCGCGCGGGCGCCTGCCTTCTGCCCCCCCCCCCCCCCGCGTGTGCGGTAAGAGGGCGCGGTTGCCGTGGCTCCCGGCGCACGCCTCGGCAGCTCGTGCTTTTCCATGCTGGCGATGCGCTGCTCGGCCCCGTGGGTCACGCTGGAGCGTGCTCGCTCTTCGTTCGCCGGCCGTCTTGATCTCTCGCGGCCGTTGCTGCATGGTTGCTGAAGCGTTGCCGCTGCCGATGAGCTTTTGCTGCGCGATCCTGAACTCGCACTGTAGTTCGTCTGTCTCGACGTGATCGCGGTGTTCTGGTATATCCGTTGCGATGGTCCTCGTCGCCTCGTGCTCCTCCTCCATCCTGTTGAGGGCTGCCATGTTCGTGGTTTGTAGGAACTCGCGGTGAACGGCTTCCTTCTCGTTTGCCCGCTTCGCTTGCCGATCTCCTTCCTCAGCTCGTTCTGGGAGTGGCGGGCTTGCGCTGATTCCTTACGCTGTCTTCCACCTGGCCCCTGCGCGCTCTCAGCTGCCGCGAGGAGATGTTTCTGAAGGGCGTGGATCCACATCCTGGCGCCGCAGGTGTTCTTCTTGATATCGCGGGCCATTCGCTGGTTGTCCACTCTCAAAATGTTGAGCAGCACGCCGGCGTCTTGACCCTTGACCGTCTCCCCCGCCCTTGCTTGTCTGCTAGGAGCTGGCGTGGGCGCCCTCCTCCGCGGCGCGCCCCGCAGCGCATTTTCGGCTTCGTCGTCGGCGGCGCCTGCGTCGCTGTAGATACCGCCCCCGGCAATGCTAAAGTCGCGCAGTAGAGTGTTGTGCTCGTCGATCCTGCTCTCCAGCTCATTCATGCATGTCTCTATCTGGCTCTGGTGCGCCTTGGTGTGCTCGCGGTGATCTTCCATGGTGCGCTTGGTGCGGTCTGTGTCCCTGGCCTGTCAACTAGTCCTGCAGCGCTGCTCTCCGTGATGGCTGCGGCTGACCGATTCTGCTCCATGAGCTTGATCTCCTTCCAGTCGTCTATGAGCTTGGGGTCATTGGGCGGCGATTCCCAGCCGCGGCCTTCGGACCGCATAAGCTTTGCGCATCGGAATGACGCCGTTGATCGCGTTGGCGATGCGGTCGTTGAAGTCCGGGCCGGTGTCCTGCTTTTTGGGCGCGTTGTCTTGTTCGAGTTGCGCCCCGGCCTCCCCCTTGCCCTCGCGGTTATTGTTGTTGTCCTTCTGGTTGCTGTTGTCGGGCTCGATGCCGTCGAAGGGTTCAGGTGCGTGTCCCTTTCCCCTGCCGTTGTTGCCCTTGCCCCAGTAGGGGTCGGGGTGGTCGTTGGCCCACTGCTCCGCCCACGCGATGCTTTTCCAGCGCTCGAAGCCTGTTCCAATCGGCTGTGGAATGGGGCCTGGTGCCGGTCATCTGCTTGAAGTGCGGCTCGAGGTTGATCTACAGGGTGGTGGCGTAGTTCCTGAGCTGCTCGCGGTTGCCTCCCATGGTGCTGCCAGTGTGGGAGCTTGAGGTGGACGTCGTGGTGTTGTGCGCTGTGGTGCGCCTGGAGCAAATTGCCGAACTGAGTCGAGTTGGTGCTGCGCGTGCTGGTCGAGTAGGTCGCGTGCTGATGCTACCCGTAGCAGTGCGAGTGCTGCTGCTCTTTGTGCACGTTCTCAAAAATGTCAAGCTAGGTTGACTGCTGACGTCGTGGCCGTGGTGGCCGTGCAAGTTGTGCTGGTGTAGCGTATGCAACATGCGTGCAGCGTAACGGGGTGGAGGTAGGATGCAGGCGTAAAAGAAACATACACCATACGCAAGAGGTGTAGGAACATGGGAATGCAATTGAGAAGGCTGTGCTGTAGACGATCGTGGCCGCGTTCACGGCCCACTTTGCCTTCGACGCGCCTCAGCCTCTCGGGCGGTCGCGGCTTCCTCCTCCTCCTCCTCCTGCTCCTGCTCCTGCTCCTGCTCCTCCTCCTCCTCCTCCTCCTCCTCCTCTTCCTCCTCCTCCTCACCCCTCCCTCCCGTTCCCTCCCGCTCCTCCCCCTCCCCCTCCCCCTCCTTCCTCCCTCTCCTTCCTCCCCCTCCCTCCTCCTCCTCCTCCTCCTCCTCCTCCTCCTCCCTCCTCCTCCTCCTCCTCCGACGACGGCGGCGGCGACGACGGCGACGAAGACCACCACGACCATGACGGCGGCGGCGGCGGACCCCGCGGCCTGGCTCTGCCGCTCCGTGGAGCCTGCGAGCGCGGCGCTGACGGCGAGGGTGCGCAGGAGGGGGCGGGGGACGAGCAGGAACGCGAGGGAGAAGGGGGGCGAGGAGGATAGGGAGGAGGAGGAGAAGGAGGAGGCGGAGGAGGATCGGGAGGAGGAGGAGGAAGAGGGGAAGGAGGAGGAAGAAGAAGAGGAGGAGGAGGAGGAGGAAGACAAGGAGGAGGAAAGGGAGGATGAGGAGGAGCAGGAGGAGGAAAAGGAGGAGGAGGAGAAGGAGGTGGAGAAGCAAGAAGAGGAGGAGCAGAAGCAAGAGGAGGAGGAGGAAGAGGAGGAGGAGAAGGATAAGCCAGAGGAATAGGAGGAAGAGGAGGAGGATAAGGATAAGGATAAGGATAAGGATAAGGATAAGGATGAGGATGAGGATGAGGATGAGGATGAGGATGATGATGATGATGATGATGGTGATGATGATGATGATGATGATGATGCTGATGATGATGATGATGATGATGATGATGATGCTGCTGCTGATGATGATGATGATGCTGATGATGATGATGATGATGATGATGATGAGGAGGATGAGGATGAGGAGGAGGAGGAGGAGGAGGAGGAGGAGCAAGAGGAGGAGGGGAGGAGAGAGCGGAGGGTGGGGCGGGCGGCCAGGAGAGAGGGCGGGGGCCCAGCAGGCGAGCAGAAGGCCGGAAGTGCGAGCGAACGAGCGAGCGAGGCCAGTGCTGGGCGCCCGGGTGTGCCCGTGCCCTTCGGGACACGGACGCGAGAGGCCGTGCGGGCAGAAGGCGGGGGGGGGGCCGAGGATCGGGCCGGGGAAGGCGAGCAGGAGCGGGGGGAGGAGCGGGGGCGGGGGGAGGGGAAGGGAGGAAAGAGGAGGGGGAAGCAGAGGAGAGCAGGGAGGGCAGAGGGAAGGCAGAGGAGAACAGGCAGGAAGAAAAGGAGACGGAGAGGAAGGAGACGGCGCAGGGAGGAGGAAACACCGGGGAGGGGGAGGGGGGACGCGGAGAGGAGGAGGAGGAGGAGGAGGAGGAGGAGGAGGAGGAGGAAGAGGAGGAGGAGGAAGAGGAGAAGGAGGGAGAGGGAGGAGGAGGAGCAGGAGCAGGAGGAGGAGGATGAGAAGGAGGAGGAGAAGGAGGAGGAGGAGGAGGGAGCAGGAGGTGGAGGAGGAGGAGGAGGAGGAGCAGGAGGAGGAGGAGGAGGAAGAGGAGGAGGAGGAGGAGGAGGAGCAGGAACAGGAGGAGAAGGAGGAGGATGAGAAGGAGGAGGAGAAGGAGGAGAAAAAGGAGGAGGAGGAGGAGGAGGAGGAGGAGGAGAAGGAGGAGGAGGAGGAGCAGGAGGAGAAAAAGGAGGAGGAGGAGGAGGAGGAGCAGGAGGTGGAGGAGGAGGAGGAGGAGGTGGCGGAGGAAGTGGAGGAGGAGGAGGAGGAGGAGGAGGAGGAGGAGGAGGAGGTGGAAGGAGGGCGGCGAAGAATCGAGGAGGAGGAAGGGGGGACGAGGAGGGAGGGGAGGAGCAGGGTCTCGTGCGCGGCGCGGCGAGAGCGCGCGCGCGCGGTCTATGCCAGGCGCATCGACGCCGGGCGCGCCCGACGGACGGCCGGCCCGATCCGCCAAAACGATCTCGCGGGCCCGCCCGACGCTACAGCTCGAAGGAGCCGAGCACGTTGAGCTTGTCCTGCATCTCCTCCTTCTTCTCCTCGGAGATTTTTCCTCCCTGCATGATCTTGCTCACGCGGTCCCGCTCCGACTTGACGAACTCGTGGCCCTTGTCCCGTATTCTCTCCATGATCTTCACGTACATGGGGGCCTTCCTGTCGCCCTTGAACTCCCACTCAGCCAGCGACTTTGCCGCCTTGATGTGCTCCGCCCCCTTATCGGCCAGGAACTTCGCCGCAAGCTCGTCGAGCTCCGCGATGGTGCCGATGGCGGGCATCTTGATCCCGTTTTTCCGGAGCCACACGGCAAGCTCTGGCGCCTTGACCTCGCCGGAGTACCTCAGGCCCTCCTTGTTGGCCTCGCTGAACAGCATGTACGCTGGGTAGTCCGCCTTCTCGAGCTTGAAGCGCTGACGGATGTCGTCGTTCTCCTTATCCCCGTACTCCTGCACGGGCACCTCCGCGATCAGGAACTTGGGCACGGCGTAGGCCAGCTTGGCCAGGGTCTTGAACTGGTCCTCCTTGTCCCCGTAGGCGTACGACTGGTCCACCTTTCGGAGGAAGCCAACAGGTACCGACAGCGCTACTCCCCAGATCTCTCCTGGGGTCGGTTCTGCCCGGATCTTCCAGGCGAATTCAGCGGTGGCGACGAGGGTCTCTCATCAGAAGGCGCCGACAATGGAAACCGAGGGAAGGGCAGCGCGCTGTCGGTGCCCGTTCCTCCTCGGAACCTTGAGCAGGAGGGAAAAGTCCGGGATGCCGAGGGCCTTGTCCAGGGTGTAGTTGTCCAACTTCAGCGCCCCCGGAGCCGTCCCCGCCGCGCCCGGCGCCCACAGCGACGCCACGACCAGCTTCCACACCAGCCCCATGCCGCCGCACTCCTGGCCCTCTGTTTAGGTCGGGCGTGTCCCCCTACAGGCGGATTCTGGATAAAACGCAAAGCAATGCGTACAAAGACAACACATACAATAATCGAACATGATAAAACATCGTCCACGGTTTTTTAAACAAACAACAGACTATGTTTGAGTTTTCCTCCTGTGGAAGGACATGATCAACCCTCTGTGCGGAGGCCTGGCCGCAGCGGGGTGCCGCGCGGGCCGGCTCGGGCCGGGACGGCTGCGACCCCCCCGACAATGCTCGCGCCGCGGCAACATCACGACGGGAGGTGTCTGACCGTTTGCGGCCTCCAGGGGCCCTCGCTGGGCCCCGGGGCGGTCGAGACGACGGCTCGGGACAGGAGACCAGCCCGGGGGACAGGGCCTCAGGGCTGCCGGGGGGGCCCCGCTTCGAACAAAAATCGGGGGGGGCATCGCATGAGGATAAGGGGGGGGAGGAGGAGGAGGAGGAGGAGGAGGAGGAGGAGGAGGAGGAGGAGGAGGAGGAGGAGGAGGAGGAGAGGAGGCGGAGGAGGGAGGAGGAGGAGGAGGAGGAGGAGGAGGAGGAGGGAGGAGGAGGAGGGAGGAGGAGGAGGAGGAGGACAAGGAGGAGGGGGGGACGAGGAGGATAGGGAGGAGGAGGAGGAGGAGGAGGAGGAGGAGGAGGAGGAGGAGGAGGAGGAGGAGGAGCAGGAGCAGGAGGAGGAGGAGGAGGAGGAGGAGGAGGAGGAGGATGAGGAGGACAAGGAGGAGGAGGGGGGAGGAGGATAGGGAGGAGGAGGAGGAGGAGGAGGAGGAGGAGGATGAGGAGGACAAGGAGGAGGAGGGGGACGAGGAGGATAGGGAGGAGGAGGAGGAGGAGGAGGAGGAGCAGGAGCAGGAGGAGGAGGAGGAGGAGGAGGAGGAGGAGGAGGAGGAGGAGGAGGAGGAGGAGCAGGAGCAGGAGGAGGAGGATGATGAGGAGGAAGAAGAGGAGCAGGGGGCGGGGCCCAGACTTCTCACGCGTCGAGGAGTCCATGCGGAAGTCTTTTTCGCAGCTCCTGGCCCCTCGCGGGCCTCCGGGGCCGTCAGAAAACGGCTCGGGATGGGGAGCGGGCCCCGTGGAAGAGGTCCAAGCCTCCGGGGACCCCGCAGTGGGGGGACTCGAGACATCGGAGGTCTGGGGCCCCTGAGGTGCGACGTAGCAACAACAAACAGCAGCACCGTAAACAATCTCGCCCGGAGCCCTGGACCCCATCCTTCTGCGTCATACTTCGAGGCGGATCGATCTGTGAGGGCCCCGGGGCCCGAGAGAAAGCGAAAGCGCCTGGCTCGAACAGAAACGAAACGCCAAGATCTCAGGGACAAGGGGGGCCCGCTCAGACGGAAAGGGACCCCGCAGTGGGAGACTCAAGGCATCGGAGGTCTGGGACAAGGAGGAGGAAGATCAGGAGGAGGACGAGGATGAGGGGGACGACGATGAGGAGGAGGAGGGAGGAGGAGGTGGTGGAGGAGGAGGACGAGGAGGAGGAGAAGGCAGGGGGGCCCGCTCAGACGGAGAAGCATCGACCTTGCATCGGCGATGCAGTCGCCAACAGCTCGGCAAGAGGCCGCGCGCTCAGGGCGGGGCGGGATGGGCTGCCCGGGCCCCCGTGGGCACTCAGTGGGCGCGTGAGGCTCGCTGCCTCCCGCCCCGAGCCTATTGAAGGGGCCCAGGGACACAGAAATTCGCCGGCCCAACGGGCCAGGGCGTGCTAAGATCTCCGGTACCTGGTTAACAGTATTTCTAGTTCGCGCGCGCGGGGCGGCCCCTGGGGGTCCCCGGACGAAAAGTACCCCGGCAAGGTCCCGGCAAGTCCCCGGCAAGGTCGGGTCAGAGATGCCGGAGTTCTGTTTCGGAGTCCAAGAGGGCTCCAGATCGGTCCAAGAGGGCCCCGAGAAGCTTTCTAGACGGTCCAAGAGAGGCCCGAGACGGCCAAAGATCGCCCGAAGACGCCCCAGATGGCCCCAAGACAGCCCAAGAGGCCTCCAAGACGCTCCAAGGGCCTTCCAAGAGGCCTCCGAAGAGGGCCCCAAGTTGCCAAAATCGTTGATTTTCATTTGTTTTTTCGATGTTTTTTTGCGTTCTGGCCTTTTCGCTTCCGGACGCTCCAAGAGGGCCCAAGAGGCCTTCAAGACTGCTCCAAGACGGCCCACGAGGCTCCCAAGACGGCCCCGGAGCGGCCCAAGAGCGCCCCCCAGACGGCCCAAGTGCTGCCCAAGGCGGACCAAGAGGCCCCAAGACGGGCCCAAGAGGGGCTCAAGAAGGGAACCGAGAACTGAAAAATCGAGCCCTCCGCCCCAGAAGGCGCCCAGGACCCCGAAAGAGGCCCCAAGAGACTCTCCAAGACACCCCCAAGACGCCCCAATAAGCTCCCGTGAGGCCCCAAGAGGACCAACAACGTCAGGCCCCAGGCCCCAAGAGGACCAACAAATACCGCCAAGAGCCCGCCGAAAGCCCCCCAAGAGACCGTCACGAGAGCTCAGGAGAGGCCTAAAAAGAGGCGCCAAGAGGCCCCAAACGGCCCCACCGAAGCTCCAAGAGGCCACGAACGCGCAAGCAAACGCCTGCGATGGCACAATACGGGCCGGCGGAATGAGCGAAGCGATTAAATAAATAGACACAAATCTCAGGATTCCCAACTTCCAATATTTCTCATGGGGATCGACGATTCATTGTCTGTGCGTTTCTTCCCCTCCTGACCTATCCCCGTCCCCGGTGGTTTTCGGGCCATAACTCGTGAGTCCGGCGGCCGTTCGGGACGATTCGGGCACCCCTGGAACGCTGACGGCGAGGCGCAACCGCTGGAAGGCGTCCCGAGGCCGGAAAGCCGACGAGAACTCACGGAAACGTCCGAAAATCTCGCTGGGCCCAGGGACCTTCAAAAACGACTCGGGATGAAAACACCGCCTTGGGAAAGGCTCGGGACTTCCAGGGGCACGGAATTAGACAACTCAAGACATCGGATGTCTGGGTTGCAACTCCCGGAGAATTGAATTAAACATCGCCGCTAATGTATCCTCGGTCGGAAACAAAAATCAATTCCGGTGAATCCTGCTTCATCCCGGCTAAATCCTGCTTAATCCAGCTCTGAGCCTCCTAATATGGCTTAGCGGCCTCTTGCATTTTTAAACCCAGAGAGTTCCGAATATTGTTGTTACGAACCTCCCAGGATGTGGTAGGGCTCATTCTGCTTCGAGCATCATGTGAAGATCGGTGTGGCGTCAGTTTCTGGCAATAGTGTTGCATACGCACTTCAGCACAGGGAATGGAGAAGGGCAACGCTTTCCCGCCCCCGCAGCCATCTGCGCTAGAGGCGGCACCGAGGGCCAGGCGAGCAACACCTGCACACGCGCCGGGTCCAGGACAACAGTCTTTGGGCCAGCGAACGAGCGAGCGCGGAAATCGTTTCCGCGGAAATGGGCGGGCCTGCGGGCGGCCCGCCAGTCGCAGAGCTCGCTCGCGGCGCTGTCCAACAGCAGAGGGCCCAGACATGCCCGCGTCGTGAAGGAACACGACTGGAGGTGCTTGCCTTTTTCGTAATTTCACTGAAGTTTTCCAGCCTCGGGATGCTTGCCACTAGCTGCGCCTCGCCGAGGGCGTCCCTGGGGTGCTTGCTTCGTCCCGAACGGCTGCTGGAGGCCCGAAGTATAACCCGAAAACTGACATGTTCGCGTCGTGACGCAAGCACGACGGAAAATTGTTCGCCGTTCTCGGTTTCTGGGCGCCTTCGCCAAGCTCTGGGACCGGCAAGAAACGACTCGGGATGAAAAGCTGGCCCTGGGAAGGGGGTCGGGACTCCCGGGGACCCCGTGTTGAAAAATCAAGACATCGCACGTTTGGGGCAGGGGACACCGAGGAGGGGGCCGTGGAGGATGGGGCGGGGGAAGAGGAGGACTACCCAAGTCGGGCGGATGGAAATGGGGGTGACCTCAATGGGGTTGGAAAAAAGGCCTTCAAGAGGTTCCTTTCTTCACCCCCCAATCAGTGCACCCCCCGTACCACCCGCCCGATCAAGGATTACCCCAGGTCGACGCTGTCGGGACAACGCCACCTCGAGGGGGAGGTTCCTCCTTGATACGTTTGGGAACCCACGCGTCCACCATGGTTGGGGCCGCCCTCTGACACTCTTGTACTCCAGAGGAGGGGCTCGTGATTTGATGAAGAACCAACAACGACAAATCCACACTTACCATAATCTCATCATGAGTCACTGCGGCTACTGTGGAATGCCGCGACGCCGACTAGAGCGAGCGTGCGAAGCGCTGGCACAGCTCATGCGGCGAAGCGCGTGTGCCCGTTTGCGCAAGGCGCGTGAGGCCGCAGCCCCTAGAAACCACGCAGCGCTTTGGTGTAGCCAAACGCGTGTAGAAGACGCTGTTCTATTCGACTCGACGTCGTCGTCGTCGTCGTCGTCGTCGTCGTCGTCACCGTTGCGTTTAACCCCTCGTTCCCTGCCTGCTGTTTCTGCACTTGCTGCTGGCTGCTGACGCACATATTCAATCTAGCTCTTGTGGCGAAGCACCATCGTCAGCATCCTGCGTGGCCGCGTGCTTTCCAGTTCGGCCGCCAGCTTGCTGAGGCCGCTTGCTGAGGCCTTCCAAGAGGCCGAAATCCTCGCATCTTGCTCACGCCTTGTGCGCCAGCTGCTCGCAAATGGCCTGGGCTGCATCTGCGTCGTGCGCCGCTGCCTTGGGTCTCGCGGCCACTTCCTCCTGCAGCCTGGCCTTGACCTGCGTCTGCTTGGCCTGCGCTGCCGCCTCCATGTGGCGCGCCTGCTGCAGCGCCTTCTGTGACAGCATCAACGCCTTCTGGGCTGCATGTGTCTTCCCTGCCACCGCTGCAACTACCTCCTTCTTCGCCTTGTCGAGCGTCTGCTCGGTCTCGCGGGCCAGGGCGCCCGCGGGCTTCGCCGCCTCGCGAGTCGCCTTGCACTTGTCAATCCTCTTGGCGATGTCGGCCAGTTCCTCTGCGACCCTGCTCGGCGTCGCTTCTGTTGCGCAGGCCGCTTGCAACCTCCGTCTCTTGTCCATGAAGCCGTTGATGTGTTGTTCGTGCCTCGAGGACCACAGGGGGCTCGATCTGGGGCCGCTGTGGCCCCAACCCGTCCTCTCCTTTGCCCTCGTGCACCTGGGGCTCGGCCTTGAGCTCCTTGACTCGAGAACTTGGCCTTCCGGAGCACGTCGCACTTGGCCTGCAGCTGCTGGATCGTCGTGTCTCAGCTCTTGGCTGCCCCTGGCGCCCATGGAATCCAGGGCCAACCTGGACGCGGCGCTTGGCAGGCGAAGTTGCGACAATTCGTGAGCCAACCGAATTGATCGCGCAG